GTACTCTTTCCGATTACTGTCGGAAATGATCGCCGATCACGTAATCTCGACATTTTTTTGCCATGACTAACCCACTTATTCTTTGACGATCAGTGATTATCATTTTATCAGCCCGGCAAAAATTCCGATAAAAAAAATAAAAATCATCAAATATCTAATAAACAGGTATATAAATTTTTAGCAGGTCACCAAATTTTGTGCCTAAAAGTTTTGTTTTTACTATTATTTGTTATTGCATCTCTGATTTTACAAATGTGCATGCAAATACATATTTTTTTTTTATAGTTAGATATCTAAATACGATAACTTCATGTAGTTATCTAGTGGTCGTTAATATAATAATTATTTGATGATTACTTAATAATCATTATATAATTTATCTAAAGTAGCTACTTTAGATATCTAAAGTGATAACTTTAGATGAGCTACTTCATATATATAAAGTAGCCACTTTAGATAGGTGGCTACTTCAGATGCGACATATATATATTGAGTATGCGTATAAATTGGCTAGTCAGTATAATATCATCAAAGTTATCACAGTATATATCTTGTTATACTCATGTGATTTTGCGTATAATGATCATTATACTATTTGTACTTTGTAACATACAGATTGAATTTAAGATTAACGTTTAAAAAGCGTAACAATAAGTTAAAGTCTTTTAGCAATTTACGACAATAAATTCTATTGACAGTTCCATGGACAATATTAAAAAAGAAAGTGTAAGCGAAAGTTTTTGTGAAGAAGTAATTGATTTGACAATCAATTCTTCTTCAGAAACTGATTTTCCGGTTATTGAATTAGACGATTTGGGCGTGCTTTCTGACATTGCAATATTGAACACATCCAGTTGGAATTGGTTTATTCCCAATTGTTTCGGGAAAAAATGCATCACCACCACTTACATTTCATTTTGTTGCATTATACAAAAATTATATGATTATTGCATTTGGTATCATTTTATTTAATAAAGTTTATGTATGGAATGTTATTAAATTATTTATTATTTACATCTTTTAGGTCAAACAGTATCAGACAAATTCATGAATAATCTTTATATTCTTGAGATACAAAATTACTCCTGGGTCACTAACATGAATTCAAGTTCATCTTCTAATTCAAGCTTAAATAAAATAATAATAATTATTATTATTGGTGTGCCTATCGCTATTTTGGCTGGAATTTTGATTGTTTTGATTAGGATTCGTTCAAAATATGTAATAATTTGTCAATAATTTGTATATTACTTATTATAAAAACTTTTTTTCTAAGATTTTAATGAAGGTGACATTATCGAATATTAAAGTTTATGAGATAGTCAGGAGGTATTTTTCAATGGACGTT